GAAGGTATTTATTAACGGGTAAAATTATAGTAAGTAATAGTACACCAATGAGTGGTTAACGACATTGTAAATATTCATAATTAATAGGTCTTAAATTTATATTATTTTATATATCTATCAACGAAATGTAATATCCATAATACATTTATTATATACCTACTATTCATTATAGATATTGAATTGTACCTTATATAATTAATTAATTATCTGCTTTATTCCTAAATGTAAATTAACAATTTTGTTAGGTAATAGCTCTGTTAAAAAATATTGTATTCGACTTGATACGCCCCTATTTCGAAAGACAAATAGGTAAATAGAAAATGAAGCACAATTTCATAAAACTTCAATGTATGGAAGCTAATGTTATTCACATAGGAATGTCACATTTTTTTATGCGACTGCAATAAAGATATCACTTTTTATTTTTAATTGCACACCATTAATCAAATCTGAGCGTAGGTATACAAGTATGACAATATTGACTTCATTACATATGCCCACAAGTAATTTTGCTAGCTCTATTGTTTCTATTTAGGTTTTTTTGCGAATTTTATAATTCACACACTAGCTACGTTTGCGAATACATCATAAAATTAACGCCAACAAAAAAAAATCTCCTGTTAACCAAGTTTTTTGGTTAGTAGGAGTAGTAGACAAAATACTCGTTTTATTGAGCAACACATACAGGGTGTTCTCAAAACAGGTGCAATAAATTCAGAGCCTGATAGAATCCAAAAACTAAAACAAATTTTTCCTATGAACTGAGGGCCTATTTTTTTTAAATATAATTTGGACACTTTTACAAAATGTAATGTAATGTAACTGAATGGGAATTTGGTAAGGACAAATTTTTGTGAATGCCAAAAATGTCAACGTTATTACCATTATTATTAGTATTATTCGACTATATTCTAGGGGTCGCTAGTGATCTTTCTCAGTGACATTTTGGATTAATAAATCATTCTTTGAGGATAGATTTACTGCACTGCAGGTATGCTGCATAATTTAATGTAGATTTTCATTTAATACGAAAAATATACTTATTAATTGATGCTGACTGGGATAACTACAGTGCTAATATGAATTAAGAAGTCAAGTATCGAGAAAAATAAAATATATATATATCTGATAAATAAATAAATAAATAATATATATGTCTGATAAAACAGACATATGACATATCAACATTAAAAAAACATAACTCACCTAAAAAAGAGAAATAGAAGAGAGAAAAAAAAATGAGAGAAGTGAGAAGAGTATGTACGATATTCAACTGTTTCTTTGTTATTGAGTTATAGCGCTATATTATATGCGAAATTTTTTTTCGTAAAGTCAAAATTTAAAAAAATGTTATTAACAAACCACCTCCTTAAGAAAATCACAATTTGACAAAACTATTACTACTATGTGATAAGAAAGCTATGTTTAAAGATGCTCATAATAAATATGTCATATACATATCTCTGAATGGTTTGGGAGTAAATAAAAAAACATATTTAATGATAATAAACATAGAGTTTCCAGTAATAAACAAAGTTTTAAGCATACTAATTAAATATGATTTTCAAGAAACAAATATTTAATGGTTTACACTTGCTAGAATTATTTAGAGCCAAATATTTAGTAGTTTCGTTCAAATAAATGCCTTCTTAACACCAAGCAAATATTTATTTCGCCAAATACAAATAAACAATTTACTTGCCTCTAATAAATTGTATTTTTCCAGCAAATAAAACCTTTTCTCACTGCGCTTTCCATACCTTGACGCTGATTGAGTATTTTTTTCATAGATTACATAGATTACGCTTTTATTTCCTTCATGCGTATCATTCTACGGGGATACGAAACGATAAATAATAAACAAAAGCACCAAGCTAGCCCGCGAAGAGTTCGAAGCGCATAAAATTTTAATAAGCGTTCACATTTAGTTAGTGTCGCTCTGGAAGGCAACGTTGTGATACCTATTAGGATGTAAATTTAATGTGATGCACAAAAGGCCCGTAATTACCCCCGCCAACTATTAAGCCGAGCCATGGCGGATTATGGACGGTATAAAATCATTATTGATAAGAAGTACCTACGTTTGAATCGCGAAAATCATTTCAATATGAAAAAATTTATGGCCGGACGCATAGTAAACGTCTTGCTGGGCGATATTTCATGCAGATGTGTGCCCTCTATAAATGTCTGAACGAATTATTCACTTAGAGCAATAACTATAAAATTAACGATTTTTATTAGAGGGCGGTGTATCGAGCAACGGAGAGGGAACGAAGAACGACCGATATCGATGGATTCTATGTTTGCTAAATTATCAGAAAAATAAAGGAAACTTTGTTCGGCGCGCTCCCTAAGGACAGAAACTATTAAAAAGTTATAAAGTTTTGAACAAAATACAGTATATTTTCATTGTTCCTTTCTTATTCGGCAATTTCTTCAGGGGGACGATCGCCTTTCAATCCCTTTCGACCAATAGTTTCGCGACAGCACACTCTTGATCACTGTTTAACTCGATTAGAATACGAAAGTTTACGTCTGATACGATGTCACTAGAGTAGCAGGCAGGTAGAGAACGAACGAAATTGAACGTGATGGGTGTTTCATTAAGTTTGATTTTATTAAAAACGATTTTGTTAATAACTGTTTTCTAACATAATGAACAACTTTTGTAAGGTTACACCGTCTTTTGAAGACATATCCTTTAGGTATAGACAACTAATTACGTTTCCATTTTTATTGAATTTAAGCATGCCAATATAAGAATCAACTCGGTGCTGTCCCGTGCTTAAAATAAATCGTTTTACTTGTGAAGGATATATTTTGTAACTAATCTTAACATAATTCACACATCGACAACTATTTTAACAGCAAGCACGCGTAGGTGGTGCCAATCAGATTTATTAAGTGAGAATAAGCTCATATTTTCGCTGTCTAGGTATTAAGAAATATTTGAACTTAAGTGGGATGTTCGAATTAGAGAGAAACGGAGGTAATAAACATCAATTCTATACGAAACTGGCACAATTAGGGGAAGATGGGGCAAAGTGAAAACGTTTAGACGTTTTGTTCCTAACATTTTAGCTTGTTACTTCAACAGACGTGTGAAATTGTACTTTTATAAGAAGTACCTACCTAGGTATGTTGCAATTTATATCAATCATTCCACTTTGTCCTTTATAGTAAGGCAAAGTGGATATTGCGAAGTAAAAATATATGTTTAAGAAAAAGTCTTTTAAAATTTGTACCTATAGATATGCTACAATAACAATTTTCATCGTTTTCAAACACAGATGTACCCAAAATTAATGCTTGTACCTATTTTTAGCAAATATTAGGATAGAATTACTTACAATTCATATTTTTTTAATAATGCACGACATACAATTAATCTTCTATCTATTGGGCTTGATATTTTTTTTTTTCTGGAAAGTGAGATGTAGGATTTACTTAATTCTAGTCAAAATCCAGTGGGGGGGGAACTAAATATAAAATATAATTCTTTTTAATAGTATTACTTTTTTCCTTTTCCTTTTACCCTGTCTTCCCCTAAATGATTTCTATAACGTACAACAGAAAAGTTTTACTAGATAAATTAGATAACTACTAATTATATAGGAACCAAAGTTGATTAATTATGTAGTATAAATTAGAAGTTTTAAAAAATTGATACGTTTCAAATTGACTACAATAAAGGTGGTAAAATTATCTGTAACCCTTAGTACTTTGTTACTGAAAAAATATAGACAGTTAATTTAAAAACAGCACAACTATGTTTTGTTTATTTTACAAAAAGTATCTCCACTATCAAACTTATGTCATATGACCATAGATAATTTTCCATCCACCATTTTTACATTGGTGGTTGTAGGCGAACTTTTATTCTAGTGATTATTTGGGGAAAACAGGTATATTAAAAAATACTGTAGTTAGTATTGCAACAAATGCATCAACACTGAAAAATATGTTTAACGTCATACTTAGATTAAAAAAAAAAGCAATTTATCGTATTGTTCTCATAATTTACATTATTTTAAAGGTAGATATTAAGCCAATTAAAAAACAATTTTTTCTAAAGAATCTTTTCAGGTGAAGTCAAAAAATGTTCTTCGATACAGAAACCTATAGGTATGCAATATATTATTATTTTATATCCTGCTGATGTTGCAGGAAGCAACTACTCCATGGGCTATAATTATCCAAAATAAAACCTAAAAATTGTCTAAATATAGTTAATACCAAAACACATCGTTCAAAGAAATATCTTGTATTCTTGCTGTTCTATCATAACACTTGATCACGTGAAAATAGCTACTAGAAAGAAATCTTTATGTTTTCAGATTTTTCTTAGGATTGTTAGGCCTCATATAGAATTAATAAATATTAACCGGTCAAAATTATACGTAAATTTCAAACTTTTAGAGAAAAAATTGCATTTTGAAAAGATAGTGTCAAAAGCATTGAACAATACTAACTAGATCAATAATAATTGTTTTTCTACCTAAAAAATATTTGTCCTTTCTAGGGGTCATCTCTGTAGGATTAGATATATTTTGCATACCTAGTTTTCTAATATCGAAGAACATCGTTTCACTTCATTTGATAAGATCATTAAGGAAAATATTTTTTTATTCACACAACATGTCCAATTAAACGAATGTGAGATATTTCTGACAATTGAAACATTTTACTTTACCGATGATGCAAAAATCTGTAAAAGGTAGAAAGGTAAGGCCTGCCATCAGCAAGTGGAAGCTTTGATTCGATAATTAATTATTTCTTCATAAAAAAATGAATTACCTATTTTCTAAGAATTGTTTCACCCTATGTTTTGTACCTACATAAATTTCCAAACTTAATTCTATTTATACCAAAGATTGACAGGCTAGCGGCTAGATCGAGGCGGCGGCAGCGCCAGAAACAGCAGAAGAACGAGCAAAATCCACACACCATTCCCACACATCAAGCACAGCTCAAGTGAAAAAATAAAACAATTTACCTACAATTACATTATTGGCCACAGCGTCATAATCCATAGAAACCAGCGAACAAAACAACTAATCTACGTGCGACGTGAGGACGGTCGAAAATCGCGGCATTCCGTGTCTCACAGACCGCGATTCATCTCGGTTAGCGCCAGGTGAGTCGCGCAGGTACTGAACAGCATCCGTCCACCTGTACCACAGCTCTGACCGAGGTACGTACTGTCGCCGCTACGGCGCTAGCTGTCAGCGTTCTGATTTCGAGCCCAACCCGCTGCGCGCCCGCGAACCGCCTTATTGGTAGTCAGAAGTGGGCCCTGTATCGAGAGACCAATAGCGGGCGATAGGCAGTGCCAGCCCGGCCCAGAGCAGTGGCCTGTTTCTGAGCACACGTGAAAAAGGCAAAAAATGATTAAGGTAATTAAAATTGTGTAATATTGGTCTGTGTGCTATTTGATGATGCAGTAATGGTAGAATTTATTTGTTTTTGTTGGAGGTGACGCCTGGGGGGATAGGTGATTTTTATTTTATAGGTAATATATTAAGATTACCAAGAGAATGACTGTGGAATATAAGCTGATTATGTACGGTCTAAAGAGCGGCAGTAAAGTAGGGATTACGTAAGTGAAATTAAAATATATTAGTGTGCTTTATCTACGAAAGACTCCGAGTTTTGCGCAACTAGAGGCGGAGTCCTCAACACAATTGAAGTTTCTCACTCATGAAGCAATAGGGTAAACCCATACACATCTAATTAGCAGCGCACATCTCAATTATAGTACCCACCCATTATCTTGTCATTTTTAAGAAAAACATTAAGTTTGTGGATAATTACGCGACGGTTATAACGATTTTAATATGTTTTTTACAAACGTTCCCCACATTTATGCGCGCAAGGATGTTAATGATAGGTTTTATGCGAAATTAATCCACTTTACTAAGGCCAAATTCCTCAAGATTAGGATTATTCAAATCAGAAGTGGGTAGGAAACTTAAAAACAAATTGTTCGTGAACTTCGACCTACTAAACGATAATAAGTATAAGAGCAGGTTTCAAATATTCACTCATGTGGCAATCAGGAACGCGAAGCCATCGAAAGTCGCGCTAAGCAGATCCAAAGGCAGCCAGGCCCAAAGACGATGGAAAGATTCACCTCACTTTCCAAAATTTCAAAACCCAAACCACTCCAAAACGAAGCAGCCGATGCCGACAGAGGACGATGCTGTTGACACAGAGATCCAGGACGATGCACTACGAAATCCGACCAAAACGTAAACCCAACAATAATAATAAGTACATAAAAGCTCAAACAGAACGATGCCTAGTCCCAGAGATTCAGAAACGAACATAAAAGCAGAGCCTAGAAGTAGAAATGGTACCGCATCACTAAACCGGACCAGGTAGCAGAGCCATCAGCTGAGACGCCCCTACATGTGAACGAACGTCCACCCAATCCATCGACACTGCAATAACCAGAGTCAGAGACCCGGCCAGCAGCTGCAGCACCATCAAAATTTATAAATATTTTTTATATGCAATGACTATAAATGAAATCTGTTATAGAGTATAGTTTTGTAGTAATCTATATGCCGTTAAAATAACAAACGAATGTCTGTAATTTTACATACAAATTTTTAGGACATACTTCAAAGAAACATGTGTTGCTAAGTGAATGAAACTGTTGTTGTAATTATTATAAACATAAAACTACTTAAAAATTTGTTAATTAACCATACTTATGTATTATTTAATCTCAACAATATCTCCCAAGTTTGCACAAACAGCCAAGAATCCACGCAACATTCAACGTTCTTAGAATCGTAGATAATAACAAATAATAATTGGTGTGACAATATTTATCAGATTTTCTTGCATTTACGAGTGTCTTGCGCCTATATGATTTATTGCAGCTTTTATTTATTACAAAGCCGTTATTTTAATGATATTTTTTTAATCATTAATCAATACCTACGAAGAGCATTTGATTAATGAACGTAAATTGCAATGGCTATGAAGCTTAGATTATTATTATTATAAGTAGGTATAGTCGATAATATAAATGTTAAGTATTTATATGTAACCATACCGCTGACAAACAATTAATAATAAATTACAAGTAAGTAGGTATCTATCTAAGGGTTAGATTGAATATGAGAATGACCGTATCCTTTATAAAATACCCTTAAATATTTTTTAATAAAGGAATTTTTTTGGATGTATTTGATATTTAACATAAAAACGCAACACAACTTTGTTGTAGATTTGCAGACAATTTCGGAATTTTTGACGGTAGTGTCAATATACTTGGAGATTTACCAGCTAGAAGTAAGTACCATAGCCCCTAAGAAATAGATAAATTGCAGTCATAGCATCCCCAATAAATACTTCACCATCCAACGCTCACCGTCATAAAGAATCATAAAGGTGAAATCCATAAATAGGTGTGAAATTAAAATCAAAGCAAAACGCAACACCTACATAATTGGTTTCTGGTATACGAGCCTCCCAAATGAACAGAACGATCGAGTTGCCTTAGCCCGCAGCTGGCTGTAAAGTACGCCAACTGGATCTAGCGATAATTCAGTATTTATGTGGTCAGGTTGCTCTGGATGAGGATCTCGGTGAGAAACAAAGATTATTTCCTGTAACATTGGCACCCTTTCTATATGTTTGTACCCCGCCATCTATCGTTGACATATGTTTATTAAAATTTTAATTCGTGACACTTGCGATGCCTACTGAAATCACGAAATCAAAATATCTAACGAACGACCAACAAGATTGACTAGGGCTCGAATAATGCGACAGGAAATTTCGAAACAGTCGATGCGGGATAAATCCAATCTATTCACACCAGCTCACCACGTGCGATGGTGTGTTTGCCTTCGATTACATCGACCTCTGGGCAGCCCATTAAACGCCTCACGAAAGGTGTGGTCGAATGGTAATGGTTAGTTAATAAATGTGGACCTCGGGGTAGGTCGTAACGGCGTGAATCTCCGATATATAGATTAATATATGCAGATTCCCGGGATGATCTACGAGTTCTTTTGGAAGGCTATTATTCAGGCGATGTTAATGGTGTTAATTTCTTAATATGGTTTATGTGTGGTCCGTTTTCGGGCTGAAAAATGATTTATTTCGACGCCGCACGAGGAGGTTCCGTTGAACTTGCATTCCGTGACGTGAAGAACGAAATGATTTACTTCACGCGGACATTTCTCGTCGAAACAAAGGGTTCAGAAATATGTAATTCCAATCAAGATGGAGAAGAGATAAAAGCAAACTTATATTTAATGAGATTGTAGGAACAAACTCAAGGAACAAGTTCCTGAAGTCATACTGAGTGAAAAAGTTTTATCTATATACGTACATAGGGTCAAATCTCCATGGTTACCGAGTTATGGTCTTTGAAAATTTAGAAATAAATACTTACGTGTATACAGATTTTAAACTTTTACACCCTGTATACGTTAGATTACTGGAAAATATATTTTTGTACGTTTGAATAGACCTGGGTGGATCTGTCGAGCAAACCAATTTTTGCTGGACTTTCAGTACAACTCGCATAATAAAAATGTAGATCCCTAGATCTGGGCGAGGTCCGGAACATTTTCAAAATTGCAAAAATGTTTAAAATATTTTAAAAAGTACCTATCTATTAAAAAAGTTAAAAATTTTAAAATTTATTACCAATGTTGCAAAATAGCAATAATTGATGAAATAAAGGCAAAATAATCAAGTTTTTTAGATAATTTTATTAAAATGTTTTAATTGCTCCAAGGACATTCTAATTTTGGTAAAATAAAAACTAGGGGATAATAAAATGACACACCAAATTTCATTTTTTCGCAATATAATTTTTTGAAAAAAATTTTGAAAAAATATTTTTGAATTTTCAGAATCTAGATACTTGAAAATTTTGTCACATAGAAAATAACGTTCAACCTTTCAAATGGTTTTTGAAAAATTGAAATCGGTTGATTAAAACGGCTACAGTAAATTTTTAAAATTAACACTTTTTTTATTTTTAAACAATACATTTTTATTAAATTTATCAATTTGCAATTTAGTTTGATCAAAAATTACAATTTTAAAGTACTCGGAGAGATGCTTTTTAAAAAAAATCGCTTATTGGTTCTCGAAATATAAGCGGTCAAAGTTTGTCGGCATTTACCGTTAATTTATAAACAATTTAGCAACAATCTTTGATCCAGTGGCTTTGTTTTTCCGAGTTCTAAGCTGGAAAAAATTTCATATCCATTAGTTATCGGCAACAGAGATGAATCCGCGGGAAAGCTATCGCTCGCACGCGCGAAATGTGACTCAAAACACGAAATGTGGGGAAGGGGGCTTTCGCTCAGAGACTGAATTCGGAGGTTCAAAATGTGAAGGTACGAAAAAAATTGCATTATCTCGGCTTCAAATGGACGAATTTTGATCTTTTAATTTAATCCGATGTCTCGCGAGCCAAGGAATTCGAATATCGTAACTGTCTAATTTACACATATTTAGTTATAATTATTACAATTATTTAAATTTAATTTTTGTTTAAACAAAAAAAATATTATTAGGATATTTTTTTGTTAAATACAGGCAAAATTAAGAAAATATAGTACTTTAAAATTATAATTGAAAAAAACTAAATTGTAAATTGATAAATGTAATTTAATTGTTTAAAAATAAAAAAAGTATGTTAACTTTAAAAATTTACTGTAGCCGTCCTAATCAACCGATTTCAATTTTTCAAAAACAATGTGAAAGGTTAAGCAGTCTTTTATATGTGAAAAAATTTTCAGGTATTTAGATGCTTTATTTGAGGCTGTGCAACATTTTGAAAGTTCGAAAAATTTTTTTCAAAAAATTTTTTTTCGAAAACTGTCTAACCGATTTTAATAAAATTTGGTGTGCTATTTTATTATACTCTAAAATTTGTTTAGCATTACAATGGCTTCGGAACAATTAAAATATTTTTTAAAAATTATCCAAAAGACTTAATTATTTTGCCTTTTTTTCATCAATTATTGCTATTTTGCAACATCGGTAATAAATTTAAACATTTTTAACTTGCAATACTGAAGTCGTTTGTGATATTATCATCTAAGTCATACGAATTGAAATCTTTTGTACCTTTTTTGAAT